TTCTAGCAATAAAAAAAGGGCTTGACTTTTAAACGTAAGGTTGTTGTTCTTTATATTAAGTATATTAAGGACTTATTCAACAAATTTTGTTTTAATTTGAAAAAGTCTCTTGGACTTACGCCTCACTACAAAACTCACCTCAAAGCCCGGATGTACGTCCCGAATTGTTGGATGTACGCCTTTTGAGACTTGCGTCCCCACCATCGCCTCGGAGCATTTTTGACGGCACGTCCCGAAAACGCCTTTTAAAATACTGGTTATTATTGTTGCATCATTTGAGGAAAATCACTTCTAAAAGGTTCTTTTTTTAACTTACCTATCGTTTAGCACATATTTGTGTGTCCAACATAAATCTTCATGCAGTGTGCTCCTTTGATAAAATTATCATAATAATGCCACACTGTTTAAAGTGTTAAAAAACTAGAATTCGCGGATTACAATTTTCTTCAAATAACCATAGACAAATTCTTTCTATATTTAAAGTTATGTTATTTTTTAAGTTAGGTTATATTTCACTTTGACATCTTCCCATTAATATTTTCAAATCAACTCAAACTATTCCTTTTTATCACTAAACATATATGTCATCTTTTTAGTATAAGATTTAAGTATTCAACTTCATTCGAAAATGTAAAACACGCATTCATACAATCTAAGACACCAAAGTGAATCAAAAATTTAGCGAAAATTTAAGGAGTATAATAGTGTGAGAGACTGATACAAGATAAACAAGAAAAATAAAGTAAGGGATACCACATAGTGGCATGCACCAGTACTAGAAGTAGGTAACTAGATCGAGGTCTGATATAACACCGAAAAAGTTAGCTAGGGTATTTAGATAGATGAGAGCGAATAATAATACGTATTCAGCTTTAACGTAGAGTTGTGTATCAATCTTTTGCGAGTTTAAGGACGAAAGAAGGAGTTGGTGTGATGAAGATAGTCAAATTTAAATAGAAAACATGCCAAGTACACCACATTTGGTGGTGACTTTTAAAGTCAGATAAATGGATCTCTTGATCACTCCGTGAAAGAGATTTATAAAGAGGACATAGGGAAGAAGAAGACGAGTTTTTATTCGGCTACTGTTAATTGAGGAAAGTCTTGCAACGTGATGAATATAAACAGATGAGAAATAAGAAACTAGAATATATAGAAAGCAAAGTTTGTAGATATTGTGATTGGTATAGACAACATTCTGACGTAAGAGATGTAGAGAGAGAGTGTGGAAGAGAAGAAAGACAGAGATGAAAAAATATAAAGTTGTCCAAAAAAAAGAAAGAAAGAAGGGAAGTAAACTTTATTCCTTATTTCACTCTATTTACTTGTCTCATTGATATGTCACTAAGCTAAATTAGCGAATTAAAGACTACACAAGCATAATCAATGATTAAAGATGTTTAATATGTGAAGTCTTTAATAAATAGAGGCGCTATAATTGGGGAAAATCCAATTTAGAGGACCGATTTTGCCAACATGTACAAGTTAAAGTGTTAGTTTGCTATTAAACTAAAATGAAGGAAAAACCCAAGGGTGGTAGAAAGATATAATAGAAGAATTTTAGGGCCAAAGTTCAATTATCCATTCAAGTAAGCCCCCCTCCTCATTATCCGAACATCAGGACACAAGCAGAGAGAAGAAGAAGAAGAAGAAGAAGAAGCTAAGGATATGGCGTGCGGAAGCACATCTGCTTCCACGACTTGGAGCATGTCCTCTCTCAAGTCCGCACTCCCTTCCGCACAAACATTTTCGAAGCCTTCGCTCCGTTTCTCCGTTGGGTCCAAGCCCAAATCCACTTCCAGACTTCTTCACTCCTTCGTTGGTCTCGCTCCATTGCATCCGCTCCTTTCTCTTAGTTCCCAAGGTAGATTTGGAATTATGCATTAATTAATTGATTGGTTTGTTACGTATGCTATACGAATGCACAAAAGTTTGCATTTTTAGTGCAATAAAATCCTTATTTATTGCATTTGGATGTTGATATGGCGTTTCCATGGATATTGAAGGCACCCGTTTAATGCATTAGGCATGTCATATTGATAATAGTTGTTATTACTTACTGGTATTATCTGGGATGCAGCTAAATGCTAATGTTGCATTTCTACTGCTTGAGTTCATAATATGTTAGTCGGTGAGTGTTTGAGTACATCTCTTTTTACAGTGTGATAATTAAGATACTTCTAGTAAGAGGGATTGTTTTAGGAATTTTAATTGGACAAGGTCAGATTGCCTAGACTAGAATATTGTTGGTCAGCTCTTGATTCTGCCATATATGACATCTATGGGCAAGGACAGATGCACAATTTAGGCAGTGGGTGGTTTTGGCTAAAACTATATATACATGTATGTACGTAGGTATACTTGTACTTTCCATTCACCAACTTGATATCCTGGATCCGTTTCTGTTTATGGGATGGTCTGTATCCCATAAGCTCAACTACTTTATGGATTTGGGATTAGGACGGGACATAGAAAAACAGGTTACATGAAATTGGAACAGACCATTGTGTTTCGTTTGGCGCCAGTTCTCTCGTCTACTAGCTTTACTATTTCCTCATGTACCTTTCCAGTCGAATTATTACTATGTATATGCTTTCCTCAGTTGGTGTAAGGTGAATTTAGTCTTACATGTTTTGTTTAAATCATTTCCAATAATGCCCCAAGAGCCCCTGAACAATTTTTACCTCTGTACAGCATTTAGTGCAACTACATTGAACTCTTGTTTAGTGTCTTTTCTTTTAGGGTTGCTTATGTTAGTTTGTCGATGCTCTTGCTTTAGGATATTTGATCAAACTAAAAGTCTAGCTCCAGTTACTGTAATCATTCTAGCTCCCCGAGTTAATCAAGTAGGTTAAGCTGAGTCTAGTCACCCTGTAAGAGAAAGTCGCATAACCAAATTTCTTCTTAATTGAGTTTTATTTTCAAGCTTCAGTCTGAAAGTTAACAGAAAGGGAAGAGAACTTCCTTTTCTAGTTGTCTTGTACTGTGAGGGTCTCTTTCCCCAGGGCTCTATGCCAATCAGTGTCACCCTGCATGTGGCTCACGCCATTAAAGGTTGCCCGGCCCAGCATTCATTTGCAAGTCCTGGGTGAAACTGACACTGCGAGTTTGATATCTGGCTGCGAATTAAGTCCAAGCATGTGGTTAGTCATTAGCAGTTATTGGATCTTGTGAAAATTGGTATGTTCAGAGAAGAGAGAGTCTTTGAGATCTTTCATCAAATTTGATTGAGTCCTGATGTATAGGCCTGATTAGCTCAAACCAATACTATTTTTCATCTGCAAAGATTGGATATTGTGAATATTTATATATTTTAGTTTGGGCATAGAACTTATAACATGATATAAGGTGGATATTCTCGCAACAAACATATGATGTTTGAGAGTGGAAAAGGTTTCATGAGTCATTTGTGGAATTTGAAGAATGTGAAAGCGTAGAGAAAAATCTGGTTTGCAGATGAACATGGAATGTTGCTTGTTAAGTAAATCCGCAGTGCAACTTCTGCATTTTAAGCTATATTGCTTTATTATTTCTACACCTATGTTTTTCTTTAAGTTGATAAAGTTTCTAACCTAAAATTATAAATTGCAGATTCAACAAGTTTTGAGCACTCATTTACTGTGATTGATAATGGTGGCCGGTTTTCCGCCATGAGACATGGCAGGAAGGTGCCCAAACTGAATAGGCCCCCAGATCAGCGCCGGGCACTCTTACGAGGCCTCACAACTCAGCTCCTCAAGCACGGACGTATAAAGACCACTAAAGCAAGGGCCAGGGCAGTGAGAAAGTATGTCGATAAGATGATCACATTGGCAAAGGATGGCACTCTCCATAAGAGAAGGCAAGCCCTTGGATTCATCTATGAGAAGCAGATAGTGCATGCATTATTCACGGAGGTCCCGGAGAGATATGGAGAGAGGAATGGAGGATACACCAGGATAATAAGAACTCTACCCAGGCGAGGAGACAATGCACCAATGGCTTATATTGAGCTTGTCTAGCAACTGAATAGTCATTTTTAAGATGTTCTTATTTATTTTTGTTCAGAAGTTTGATGTCAATTAAGAAACTTTTCTGAGTTCTAAAGATGATTCCATCTCAATTCTTTATGCATTTCAGTTGAAATTGCCCTTTACAAAGTGCAGTTTTGTTTGTTTGCTCACGTTTGATTTATTAAAGCCTTTTGTTGTTGACCAGTACAGATTATCTCAACTCCAAAGGGCATTACCAGTAATATTTGTGTGGTGGTGTGTTTTCTTCTTTTTTGATTCACGTGTACTTGAGGTTGAAAGGCAACACATTATATCTAACTTTGGGCTGAACAAAGATTGCTAAGAGTATGATACCCAAAAATAAAAATACTGCAACGACAAATTGAACAAAGGGAGTGGATTAGATGCATATCATGTGTTTGAACCCTGTTGTAGACAAAAGTGTGGTATTTAATTAGAGAATGATAGAGGAGTGAACATATTATCCGTGCCAGCTGGCCCTAGGGGATTTTTCGATTAAAAACAATAAATTGAACAAAGGGACAAAATGGTTCCCGGATTAAAGGCAGAAAGCTTTTACTAGCACAAAAAAGGAAATTTGGAAGATACATATTACAGTACCTGGTAAGAAAAATAGTTACCGCTTTGATATTTACACAAAATTAAATAACTTAATCATAAGAGTTACAAATAAATCTGAAAATAAATAATGTTTAAATATTATTAAGTGATACGTAAAGGTATATATGCAAGATAATTTTTTGTAGTAACCTTTTTTTTTTTTGGCTGTGAACAAGTTACATTAGTTAGCTTTAGTAACCAACACATTATGCCAATTGCAAGAGAATGGGTTAAATATAGATGTTTTACATATAGGATTGGAAGGGTTAAGTTGGGAAATCAGCAGGGGATAAGAAGTCAGAGAAAGCAGTAGATAAGGTAGGATCACACTTTCTTGTATTTTCCTATCTACTCATCATTCTTCATAAGCCAAGATATATAAAAATCAGACACAAAAGGGAAATCCTTAATAACACAATGTTAGCTTCAACAGCTCTGAATCTGGGTTCATTAGGCAGTTGTATAGTGAATGTGTCAGCCCACAGTTGCCATAAACCTTCCCTGATTCTACAATGTACTCAATCGCTGCCATTCTTGGCATTACCAAATACTATTGTCAAGCCTTTTAATGGAAGCAGTAACAGTAGCTGGAAATTAAGTACACCATTCAAGACTGCCGTTGCTGCTGTTGATTCCTCTGAGCCTGCCGAAAAGGTTTGCAGATTTTGCTTTTTAACTTTAGGGAAGTCGAGAAATTGGTTCGCCTGTTCGCTACTAGTATTACGTAATGACCTTGTTTAAAAGCTTAAACTATCTAATATTAGAATGTGTTAGAAATTGTTTAATTATATTACTACGTTTTAAATGACAAGTTATGTTTCATGATTTAGTGCACCTTTAACCACTCATTTGTCTTGATAACCATTTTGTTCTTATCTTTTGGTACTACATTTAACTGAACTTCTGGCAAATACATTCTGCTATTCCGAGAGAGATCAAGAAATCTCACCCTTTCTTAGATTCATGGACACAATTTCAATTCAGTGAGATCCTTCATTCACATTTTTTTCCACCAAGAACGTTTTCTAAAACTCTTTGACCCCCGGAATCAAACTCTTTCTTGTTCACTTTTCTATACTGAAAATTTCGAGTTGCTATTTCTTGCTTTTCTAACCAGAATTTCTCTGCTACTTGCTTAGTGTAGAAATTCGTGTCATGTCCATTAAAGCTATTCACATTACAATCTCATTACAATCTCGCAAAGGAGAGAGATCAGATATTGCTTTTTAGGAAAGTGTGTTTAGTCCTTTTACGTGTTTCAAGCCTAAATCTTTTGTGTTCTTCATTTCATATTTTCCAACAGAAATGATTGACTTTATATACACTAACATCAGTATTAATTTAACTTAACTAGTTGCAGTAAGCCACTAATTGACAATGTCCATGCTCTCTTTCTTTGATCAAAAGTCAAAACTGAGGCGATTTGATCCCATGATGTGGAAACTAATGCCCCATGTGCCATGGTATGGGTTTCCATGTACACGGAATATCTCAAGTTACAAACTTACAATAACCATCTCATAAACTGGACAAGATAAGTGCATTTATTTCTTTTCTGGTAAAAATCACAAGAGCGTTCTATGCTTATCTTGAGGCATGGATCATTTTTATGTGAAACGAAGGCAAAAACTTCAATCAACTCCTTTTTAGGTAAGTTATCTAGCAAAATGCCATACTTTTTCATGTTTAGATTTTCACTTTCACATTTCGTTGATATGCTGATCAGCGAGTATCCAGAGCAATCAGTTTTTGTTTCAATTACTGTTTGATATTTTGTTATATATACAGCAAGAGACAGAAAGGAAGAAGTACTATTTTCTTGTTGCAAATGCCAAATTCATGCTAGATGAAGAGGAGCATTTCCAGGAGCAATTGTTTGAACGTCTTCGTCTCTTTGGAGAGCGCAACATGGAGCAGGATTTCTGGCTTGTGATTGAGCCAAAATTCTTGGATAAATTCCCTAATATTACCAAGAGACTGAAGAGACCTGCAGTAGCTCTTGTCTCAACAAATGGCCCGTGGATCACGTAAGTGCACTTATTTTCAATACCCTGAACCTTAGTTACCCTCTTTTCCCAGTTTATGCATCATAAGAAAATGCAAGAAGGTATATGCGTTGATAAGCAAGTTAATCAAAGGTGGATGCAGGCTATTTTTTATGATTTTAACTGAACCCAGTATTTTTGATACGGAACATATATGTGCGTGTGCGCTCGCACATTGATAAGCAAGTTAATCAGAGTGGGATACAGTCTATCCTCTATGGTTCCAGTTGAAGCCAGTATTTTTGACACGGAACATGTATATGTGTGAGAAAAACCACTAAACTTTTAACAAGCAAAATTCAAAATCCATAATTTCAAAAGTGAAATAAGTTTAGTGCTAGTCTATGTTATGTGGACCCTCCAAAATATTACCGCATCCGTGTCGGATACTTAAAAAATGCACTACTTTTGGAGGATCTGACATGCACCTGGCTATATTTTCGGAGAGTCCGAGCAACGTAGGTGCTAGGAAACTTAAAGATTGAACTCATCGAATTTAAATCCCGAATCCGCCTTTTGTTATCCCAGTATGTATCTTCACGTGTTTCTTGGGTGTTGTAGGTTCATGAAGTTGAGACTAGACAGAGTTTTACAGGAGAGCTATGAAGCTGACAGTCTAGAAGAAGCTTTGGCATGTACTCCCGTTAGTCTTAAGTTTGAAAAGCCAGAGAAGTGGGTAGCTCCATACCCGAAGTACGAATCTGAGTGGTGGACGCCCTTCTTACCCCCTGGATCTCAGACATCTAAGGTGTGAATAGCAATCCTTCTACTCAATTTTGGGATATCCTCTGTGTTTAACGAAGCAGGTCATTCTCTGCTTCTGCTGCACTGTTTGTTAGTCAGGCATTTGACATTTAATTTCAGAAGTATGTGAAAAGATGAAGTGTGAAGCACAAATGTAGGCTGTAGGTAAAGGTGTGTCTAGCTTATTGGCCAAATACCGTATGACCAGTTCCTGGTCGCTGATGATCTAAACCTGATTATGAGATTACGGAACTAATTGGAGAAGAAAGGGATTACTTGTTATGCTTTCAATACTTGAAATGGTGCTTTGGCTTAGCGCAAAGAATTAATGTTGCGATAGTTCAGTGCTAGGTTTAAACATACCTCTATACATACGGGCTGATGCGAAGCCAAATATCTTATGCTCTTAATCTTCGAAAATGCTGCATTTGCTCTGTGCGAAAAGGTAATGCTGTAGTAGTTCATCAGCAACCTAGTTTGGTGTGAGGTTTTACCTAGGCATTTCAAATCATGGAACCAAACATATCTTTTTTTTGCTTGATTTTCCTGATAAGTCTGATCTGAAGTCAAAAGTCTTTCTTTGTTCTTAGGTAGATTATTTTAAAGGTTTCCTGTCCCAATTTATTAGATGCCATGATCAATTTTTCACCCATTTAGGAGAACGACACCAAAACACTGGAGGTTTATTAATCTGCTCCTTCAGATTTGTTGTTGTTTTATATTTCCCATCACCCCTTAGAAATTTGTACATCAGGGTGGGATTGGATGCAAGTGTTAATATTTGCTAGACCGTTTAACTCCCTCTCCTGAAGAAGAATGAGCAACATAAAAACCATCACAGTTCTCCAGTATTGACCTTTCCAATTTGATTAAATGGAAGACCAAATCTCATGATTGCATGTGTTTAAAATTTTTATCTGATTCAAATAATGAGAGATACTTGGTGAAAGTAGAGAGTCACTCCTAAGGATAACTATCCAACAAGAAAAGAAAGAAAAGAATAGATAGGGATTGAGGGGGGAAAACACTTAGCAGTAGCTCATAGTTAAAATGGATAAGCATAATAACTCTTAGAATAGTTCTGGTTATAAAAAGAAAAAGGACACTCCTACTGTGATGCTTTATCTGCCTGGGAATAGAATGTCATCACTGCTGCTTACTGTCTTTAACAAAAGGAACTTTTGGTAGTTTCTGAAGAACCTTCTCATCCAAATGACTGTACTGTCTCTTGAGTTCTTTTTTGGCCTTCTGTGCATAGATATCCACTTGATCTTCATGTTTCTCATAGAACCAGGGTACTATCAACAGCATGACAAATACTGTCCAGAAAACAAATAATTAGAATCACCGATGACAAGGAAATATTTTGAGTTCCACTATCATTCCTAAGTTCTTCCCCATTTGGATAGTAAAATCTGTTATTCTGTCACTGGGAGTTCTATGAATTCCAGGAAGGCCTTTGGTACATTAATGAAGAATGAGATACAGTGGTCAGCGAAATTTTTCCAACAGCCAGAGAACTTTGAGCAGGGATTAAGAAAAACTGGTCCAAAAACTGAGCACTCTATTGCATTTCCATAATATAGGGAACAAATTTCATAAATTTGTCTTCTGCAGCTGATAGAAAGAAGAAAAGGTAAGAGAACTTACAGATGTAAACAAGGGTCAGAAAATCGAACCAGCTGCCAACGATAGACACAATCCACAAGCCTAAAATACTCTGCAGTTTGACATAGGATGTTGCGCTTGAGAAACATACATGAAGTGAAATTATAGATAACACAAAGCTGAGGGTAGGGAGAGATTTGTACATATAGGAACTTCTTCAAATCCTTTCCAGAAGCCACTTCCCAGAAGACACCAAATGCCCAGTTGAATCTGTCCCTCAACAGGAGAGCAACCTCAGTCCATAATTTCTCTGGCAATAAAATCTCTGGAAATTCCATAGGAGTCCTGCCAGGGAGTACAATATGATCTTATCACCTAATGTATACACTCGGACAGATAGGAGAACGTAAGAAGCATAGCGACTATAAACTAACACGGATAACTGCAAAGTCTCAAGTCATTAAAATACAAAACATCGTCCAAAAACATGTCAGGTACATGACAAAAATCCAGAGAACAGAATTTATAAGGCATGTGAAAAATAAAGTGAAGTTTTTGAGGCAAGGGAACTCACTTATTGACGAAGTGGGAGATATTTGACCAAAAGAACAAGATGGCCAAGGTAAGTATGAGAGAATGGCAAATAAAAGTGAGCAAATGATAACCAATCCATTCGAAGAGCAGCCATATGACAGTGGCAGCAGCAAGCATCCCTGCTGAAATCTGCTTGTTCCTCCACAGCAAAATATCAGCGGCTGATACAGGAGTTTTTGTTACCAGAAATAATCATAAGTTTACATTTTACACAAAGCAAATCAAGAATGATAGATAATGCAAAAATAAGTACTTCACCCGTTCCATTTTATATGTTACTCTTTTCTTTTTAGTAGTTTGTTTCATAAAGAATAACACCTTTTTATATTTAAAAACTCTTTAACTTTAAACTTACCATTTACCCTTAATAACACGCTCTTATAGGTATGGAAATTATTATCGTCATATAACAATTACGGAATAAGACATACGTTTGCCACCGCCTAGGGCGGCATGGACAGGTTTCTGGCGGCCAAAGAGGTGAGGCTTCTCGTTGGTGGGGCGTCGAAAATCATCGCCATCGGTGGATGATGAAGAAGAATAATCACGGTGATCAACGGTCCCTGGCACCTCTTTCGCTGAAGAATCAGGAACAATTTCCTCCACTGGATCGGACATGGTGACCCCGGGACTGAAAATAGGTTACAAATTAATTATCGGAAGCATAATAACAACTTTTGTTTTAGAAACTCCTTTCTATTAACAAAAATTACATATATCCATTAGAGATAGAATTTGGGTTTGTATTTATCTCGTGTTTGGTTATATATATTAGTTATCCGGGATAGATTTTATACCAAAATGATATATCCCATGGGATGACCTAGCCAATGGGATCCTACAGTTGAACCAAACGACTATTGAAAAAGTTATTAATTTTACACGTGAAAACTCAGATGGAAAATCAAATCATTTGAAGAAGAATAAGTAATTCATAGAAGGGCTGCATTATGCATGCAGTGATGCAATAAGTAGCAAAGAACAAATAAGGATATGTAATTTTAGTTCTTACTGCGTGTAATGTAACGAAGGAAGTAACAAAAAGAGTCTTGTGAACTTTTTCGTTGTTGTTATTGAAGAGTGAGAGTTGGGTTACTGATCCATCAATTTTTCCTGTACTTTGTTTCTTTTCTTGTGTTTCTCTATACGTGTAACACGTAATTTTCAAATTCTGTTTTACACTGTTACTGAATCATTCAACGGAGAGAGTAGCGGACGGGTTCCCTCTAACCATATATCTCCCAATTTTCTCGCTTCATAACAATTAATGTTCCCTTATCCTTTCTAGGAAATTTAAATATATTTCACTAGTTAATTAGTACAGTCAAATATATCCGTTTGTAAATGAATTGATAATATATAACACCCTTTTGTAATTTTATAATAAGAAAATTCCTAAAGAACGATCATCTCAATTTAGGAAGGAAAGTTAACACTCATTTTATAGAGAGAAATATAAAAATCCTTTTTATTATATGATGTTCATAATTAATTATCGTAAATAATAATAACACAAATATTAATATTTCTATTACAGTAGTTAGAACTTTTTATCTTACACAAGTCCTTTCCCTTTCTATTCCTATATAATTATTTTTTATTCTTCTTAAATCCTATATAATTATTTTTGACGGAAGGAATATGAAAAAAAAAATTGCCCTAAATTTTGTTCACTTCTGCAAAATTGTGAGTTGAAGTATCTTCTAGAGGAGAAAATATTTGGAATAATACATAATTACCCTATTAAGGTGGTAGCACATTACCTAATGCAACCTTTAATTTTGCGGGGGGCTATAATCCCCTTATTTTTATTTTTAGTGGAATTATTACCTCCTTTTGAGTTTACGTGGCACTTGTTGTGTAATGCACTTGATGTCTGCAGGTGAAAAGCTCCAAGAGAATTTTTTTTTATTCTTTTCACCGAGTAAGAGATACCGTGGGCCTATGAAGTTTGCAGGGCTATTCTTTAGGAAAAGGAAAAATAGAGTAACATGGATTCCCACCGTAGTTTTTTGATTTCTGCAGGAATAATATAAAAAAAAGGAAAAATAAAGTTGTGTTGATTTACAAAATTCCTCTTTAATTGTTACAATCGTTCATGTAATGAACATAATGTCGTCCTCTTTAATTGTTACAACTGTTACAAAATTTAAAAGGATGAAAATATGAAGAGACTAAACGTTAGAAAGGAGAAGTTCTGGACATATTAAATTTAAATAAGATAAATAGAGAGATGAGAGAGAAAACGCCAAAAAAAGAAGAAAAAAGATTGATGTGTTTCTTGATAAAAGAGGCATGCCACATCACCTCCTTAGAGAGAGATTATAAGTTGTTTACCCGTAAAACGGTAAAGTTGAATTTATACGTGGTTTCTAGACAAGTGAACTAATTTGATCCTCAAATAATATAACAATTCAAAAAATATATAATACTTAGCCTTGGAATATAGATGAAACAACAGAGATGACAGTTTCGGGAACAAAGATTCCGGGCACAACAATGATGAGATCAAAAAGCAAGTAAATAAAATTGCATTAAGCTTTATGTAGAATACAGTGTAAGTTTTGCCAGAAATTTCGTGTCATTTACAATGGTAACTGAACTCACTATTTATAGCTATACCTAGGGGAAAAGGTCCTAGGATCGTGCCCTCCTTTAATGCCAATTATGAGAGTCATTGATGAAGATGTAACGGTGAATATAAATGTCAAATTCTCTGTAACGGACCATCGCTCTTAATGCTACAGAATATTCCTTAGTAAATGCCATCGGGCGCAGAGCATTTAATACATCTTCATGAACTTTATCCTTTCTGGTGACAAACAGAGTGGTTGCGTTCGGTCCTCAGTCATCCGATCTTGGATTCCACGTGTCCTCTTTTTAGTCAGTCACGTGTCATATCATATTTTACCCTATACAGATAGTCCCCCTGCTTTTCGGTGACATAACTTTGTGTTACCGGGAAGTTGGTAGAAATACCTTTTTGGCGGGAATTACTATAACTCCCTCTGAGGGTCTTTGATAGTTGATTTGACGCACGTCTCTCCGCATTTAATGCCGCGAACATGCGTCATCCCATGATTCAGCACAGCTTTTGTCGATTATCGAGGTAATCATGGCCATGAATTTAGCCGCCAAAATTTTACTTATACGCAACTTCCTTTTCCCTTGTGTTTCACAATTGCTCGAGCTTCTGATTTGCATCCTTGTTTTCAATCCCTTTTCTAATTTTCTTCAAACACAACCTTTTCCATCTCCTTTTTTAATGGCTTCTTCCTCTAAACGTGCTGGTTCTTCAAAGAATACGAACAAAATCGAGGATTCCGTTCCTCCAACAGTGGGTTCCATCATCCCAAGAAGGCTTAGTACTTCGAAGGATTTTGAAGAGAAATTTTCTACTTCTAACCCTCGTACATGGGCGGTTAGTAGGTACCCTTCTTTCATTCGTCCTTCCAGAATTCCTGCTATGAAGGAGGACTGCCGCTGCAATGAGATGAAATCATTGCTCCTGATCTATCGGAGCGAGTGACCCTTCCCAAGGAAGGTTTTACATACTTTTTCACGTATCCCTTTACTTTGGGTGCGTTTTCTTTGAGCGGATAGCTTAATTCCGTAATTTCGGAGTTTTGCCTTAGCTACCAGGTGTGTTTGGCATAGGTAAGTCTTTCAGTATGGAGAACGACCGCTTGCCTCCAACGTTTGTGCCAAGAAACTGGAGAAGAGCTAACCTTAGCTCATATGATGAATGTTTATTCCCCCAAAATTATTCGCGGGGGAATGATAAACCTTTGCAAGCGTGGACACCATGTTTTGTTGTCTAGCATGGATGATGACAACGACTATGGGTGGATGGAACAGTTTGTTGCAATTTCCACAAATGACATCATTCTGACAACGGCTTCATCCTTTCCGGTTGCTTGGAACGGCACTCATAGGCTCTTTGTCTAGTATTCCTCTTATTAGACATCTCCTATAGCCGCATCGTCTCTTCACTCTTCGTATGTTTCAGCAACTCGATGGATCCTACCGGTGGTGGAAGGTTTGAACTGATGGGTTCAGAAGATCTTGGACGTCACAATGCCTGAAACTCGTTTGTGGAAAGAACTGTCCCTTAAATACGGGTGGAAGGCCAAAAATCATGATAACTTTAATTTACCTTGCTTCCATTTTTGTATATGAAGAACTTGGTTGAACCCTTATGACTTGTTAACGAAATTAGGTCTACCCGCGGGCTCTGTTGCTATCCCTAAGGAGGACGTTCTGGATGATCCTGCTGATACAGCGAGGCTGCTTCAGGAAGCACTTACTCGAACAGGTATCTTCGAGCCTGTTTCGGGTGTAAATACTTCTTTACGAAGTCCCCGATCGGAGGATAAACAAACAAAAAGAAGACGCTCCTCCGCGGCGTGGAAAAGAATAAAAGGGCAAAGATTAACGCCTATGAATCATCTTCGGTGGCGATGATGACTGGTCCTCCTTCTAGGCCGGTCGTAGGCACCTGATGATTGATGATGACGAAGAAGTTGTTGATGAGGGATCCTATTTATACAGAAGGCAGCGATTCTCATCATCTCAACATGATGCTCGACCTATTGAGATAGTTACACCAACTAAAGACGATGTGTCGACACTTTAGGGAGAATCTGATTTGGTAGAATATGCCAACTCCCGTTTTCGGGACCCAATTGCTGCAACCGGTGCTGCGGGGCTGAGTACCATGTCCTTGCCGTCTTTGGTTTGCGAGCATTAAACAACCAGCACTGCATTTGATGCAGCTGCTTCTCACTCTTTAACTCCATCAACTTCATCTCCACATTCACCAACACTAGCAACTGCTATATCATTTTCATTTTCGTCTACTCTTCCACCAGCGGTTGCTACACCATCTCCATCGTCTGCACCTAACCATGAAGAAGGTGTTCCTCTTCCACAGTCTCCAGTCCATGAGAATTTAGGGCAAAATTATGCTGCTCCTTCTGAAGATTCACAAAGGAGAAGGAACATTATTCTTTTGGTCTCTACCGGGTGCAACCTGCTATCACGGATGGTGGATCTTGCTAATTACCTGAAGCCTTTGGCTTCAGAAAAAGATAACAATGCTATGCATAACATCGCGACGGTACGTTCCTTCTTTCCTCTATTATTTCTTCTACTTTTGAAAGAATGTATTCTAAATTTTACCTCTTCTTATTTTATAGGCCAACTTTCTTGCTTTTGAGGGTCTTCAAAGGTTGAATCGTGAGAAAGAAGAACTTACTTCTGAACGGGATCGGCTTTTGGCGGAATGGGACCAGACTGTTCTTCGCCTCTCGGAACTGAAAACCAGAGCTACTTAGGCCATCGTTTTGGAGGCTCATTTTCAGCAATTCGAGTAAGAAATGGTAACCCGTAGCCAAGAAATTGGGCCGCTGAGGGTTAAATTTGATGAGGCCAAGGCCAAATAGACAGAAGTCCAGAACATCGTTCTTACTACAACCGACCGTGAGGCTGCCTCCGTTAAAAGAGTGATTAACTTGAAAGCAGCCTTGAATTCCAAAAGTGAAGAGCTTGCTGCTGTGGAGGCGAAACATGCCCAGCTGGAAGAGAAGTACAGGAAAACTATTGAGCATAATAGGCTCTTTAGTTCAACTGTCTGCGAGCTCGACGTCAGCCTCAAATCTGCTAGATCCACCTGGGAAAAGCTTTTCGCCGAGGTTACCCAACTCAAAGAAGAACTTAAGCGCCGAGTGGCTTCCCTCATTGTTGAAAAAACTTATTCCATGTATAGCATGAGGAAAAAAACCTTGGAAGAGGCCAAAGCTGATATCATTGATGTTGATGTCGAAATTGCTAAGGCCTGAGAGCTTGAGTTGGTGATCTCGTCCAATTTCACAACTCAAATCAAGATTATGAAATGATCGATTGCAATAATAGTACCCAACAAGAGTCGGGATCGATTTCCTCTGGGAGCTATATATGGGAGTTAGGAGT